AGCTATACAGTGTAATCTTGTTTATCTATTCTACAATTTTGAAATCCCAGTCTATCTCTTCCCACTCTCTACCCCCCTGGTAACCACAAGTCTGTATTCTCTGTCCATGAGTCTTTAGATTCCACATATGAGCGATCTCATATGGTATTTTTCTTTCTCTTTCTGGCTTACTTCACTTAGAATGGCATTCTCTAGGAGCATCCATGTTGCTGTAAATGGCATTATGTTGTCGGTTTTTATGGCTGAGTAGTATTCCATTGCATAAATATACCACATCTTCTTTATCCAGTCACCTATTGATGGACATTTAGGCTGGGCCTGGTTTTATCAAAGGTAAATGGGTTTTTAGTTCCTGAGATGTGGCCAGCCCTGGTCATTGAAAGCAGCGGGACCCAAGAACCCGTTCCTTCAGGTGTGACTGAACTTTAATCATTAAAGGAAGACAAAGTGGGTGTCTGGTGGGAGGTGGGGGCCTCCAGAGATCAGACAGTCCTGCAGGCCCTGCCCTGCCCACTCCTGTGACTGGAAACCAGCCGCTTCAGCACTCAGGGCCTCATGCGCTGCATCTGTCCGGCGAGCAGAGCGACACCTGCCGAGGTGGTAAGTCTACCTCACGTGGATGAGTGCTTTGAAGGTGCCTCGTTACGAAGGCTGTGGTGATGAGACCACTCTCCTGAGATGTGGGGCTGGTATCAATCTTTGGACATTTTGGTCCAGCTGCTGCTGAATAGCAATATGTGACAGGTCTGAAGTCTCATTCCTGAAGAGAGATGTAAAGAGGAGCACAGTCATATTGTTGGCTTTTATTTTTTTTGCAAAATAGACTGGATAACGTGTAGGGGGTAGTTATAGTCTAATTTTAGGCATTTCTTGTTTGTGCAAATGCAATGGTCACAACCTGCATTTAGATTGCTGATGAACCAGGGATTAATTATTTGCTGGGCAGGGGCTACTCTTTTTAGGAAGTTGTTTTCTGGTGGCTTGTTTCCAAAGTTATTCATATATAGTTATTCAGAAACATTTGCTACGTAAAATCAAGGCTTGTTTACCTAATAACACTATGCTTTTTTGAATTCAGTACAATACTACAATGAAGAGCAAAATGGGTGATCGGCTCCAGTAATCTAGTATGTGATGGTATTATTTTAGGATCGGCATCCCTTGTCTGTTCAAGGACTTACTGTTGCATTTTAGTTGCAACCAAGTCTTCTGTTTTTCTTCTGTCTTGCGGTATGTCCTGCTTGTTAGCTACTTTGCCAGCGTTCTGGGCAGGTGTCTGGAGAAGAGATAGAGTCAAACCTGATAACCCTGCCACTTCTCTGCTCCTCTGACAAAGGCTCCGATGAGAGGAGACTTTGAAAGGTTAATGCAGTGAGCACTTGCAGATTTTCATCAGGCTCCGCGGGTCAGCATTTCTTGGCCTCCGCGTGCAGAGCTAATTAATTTGGGATGTAACTATAGTTACAGTTTGGCAGAGTTCGTGCTCTGGAACGTGAGGTACCAGGATATGAAGTTTTATTTTCTATGGACAGGATATGATCTGTACTACAATGGTATCTTTCTGCTTATTTCCCGATTACTGTTTTCTTCAAAAATAATCCCACAGGGCTCTAGTATCCTTTATGATTCTAGTTAGCAGGAAGGGAAAGTGATTAGTTCATATTCTAAGGGGCAAATGTATATTCCTAGAATTTGGAATTTGCGATAAGTTGACCCAAAAATACCTTCTGAAACCTTCTGATTCATCATATGATGAACATGAATGGATTCAAGTTAAAAAAATTTTTTTCCCATTAAAATGCTGGAGTAGGAGGAATGAAGAAGCTCATTCCAGTTCCCAGGGACAAGTGCATCACAGGTCCACAGACAGGGAGACGTGTGGGCGGAGGGAGGGGGTTCAGATCCTGCTTTTAACCCGTGTAGAAATGGTCACGGCAAATCCAGCTCACATTTGTGTATCACTTTTATCTTCCCGAAGGGCTTTCTAACGTAGGTTTCCTTCACTGTGACTCCGTGAGGCCAATGGGCCAGGTGTTACCTTTTCTGGAGGACTTGGGGTGCCGGGGCGGGGTGTGTGGGCGCTGGAA